AACTTGTAATGGCCACGTTCTTTGAATATCTTTTACAGTGAAAGTCATAGAGAAGGGTTGCTTGGAATTACTTCTACAGTTATAAGGTTGTTCATACTTGATGTAGAAAGCTGCCTTTTTGCATGCTATTAGCTAGCTCAATGATACAACAATTGGCAAAAAAGAGATTTGTGTTCAACCTCATTTGTGGATTCTACAGTGGAAAATTGGAATTTTCCGAGAGCGTTCCGAAGTTTCACCTTTGCGGGACGGGGAGATTTTTGCTTGGTTTGCAGCCATTAAGCATTTGTACGAGACAAATGATGTTTCAGCAGTTTCCGCATTGTGTTCTCATTGATTTGGTATGTACACCGTATGGAAGCGTTTCAGCATTAGGACGCAATTTTCGGGAACACCCAAAAACTGCTTGGTCGCCAATGTGTTAACACATAGCAGTGCATCACATGGTGATGCATGGAACAATGATCTCTTTTGTTCGTTCGTCTCGTTTGTGTTATTTTCGGGTTTTCTTCAGGAATAAAGAGAAGAAGCAATGTACACACTTCAACTTTATTGGACAAAGACGTTGATACACACAGAAATACACCGTAACACTAAAAAACACACATGTCCAATAGGGGGGGGGTCGCACTGACACCCCTTGAAATGGAGGGGGTCGCAAAAAATTTGGAATTTGCGCAACGCAGGGTTGACCCTGGATGGAGGTGGGTGGAGGAGTGGAGGCCAGCTGTCATCGGTGGGCGGGGCTTGACCAAAGTGGGCGGAGTTTGCGACGAAAATTCATAACTCGGCTCCAAGAAGTCCCGGAGGCCGGGAAAAAGGTGGATGGAGGTGGGTGGAGGAGTGGAGGCCAGCTGTCATCGGTGGGCGGGGCTTGACCAAAGTGGGCGGAGTTTGCGACGAAAATTCATAACTCGGCTCCAAGAAGTCCCGGAGGCCGGGAAAAAGGGGGTAGAGGTCGGCGAAAGGAAGGGGGCCAAATGCTATTGGTGGGCGGGGCACGCACCGAAGTAGGCGGAGTTTGCCACGAGATTTATTGTCCGGAAGCAGTCCGGAGACCGGGAAAAAGATAATGGTTGACGAAGAAAAAGAGGTTGAAAGCCGTCGATGATGGAGCGGATAGAATTTAGCTGAGAATTCAGATATTCGTGGTGTATCAAGCCAAATTTGAAAATTTTCGTCGCACCATCAAAATTCGCCGCAGATCTGTGTTGCGCGCGCAATGCGTGCGGCGCCAACTGGTTGTTAATTTGACAGTTGCAGCACTTTTTGTCGTCGGCAGTTCAAAGGACGGAAGTTTGCTTATTGATTTTCGGTTTTATGACATCACTCAGAGGGCAGCCAAGTGCTCACGTTTCGTAAACTGGCCATATTGCAATAGACCAGCAGTGAAACCTCACGCGGAGAGCATTTCACGCTTCTTTGAAGTGGAGCGCCCAAGTCGCACAGATGCATCTTTCCAGACTATCTTTCTTTTGCTTCAGTTCAACACCAACGATGACCCTCCAGAATCCATCCTTTTCGCCGAGAAGTGCAGTTATGTTCAAGCAACAGAAGCTGGCCATATATTTTATTCTGATGAGCGAAAGAGTCTTTCGATTGCGGATCAACGATGGCTTTCGACCAGGATTAAAAGCTTCGTAGTTTTTGCTCACACGGAAGATGTTCGTCAAATGCTCCCTCTGGAAAGGCTCTCCACTCTGCTTCCTGATTTGCAAGCGCTTCACGTTCTTTCCCTCAACGCTGTTGGTGAGCGCACTTCAGCCTCCTTCTGCCGCTCCTATTGGGCTCTTACAGCACCATCCCCAGGTCAAAATAATTACTGTGAGGGCGAAAACTTCGGAAGTCGTTTGCCCACATTAGACATGCTTCTTACAACGACTCAGCCAGTTACGCCGGAACAATCCACTATGGACTCAGCTTCATGTAGCGTGCCTGAAGAGTATTTCCCTGAAAGTAACGCAGAGTCGGTGCTTCAGATGGAAACATGCGGAAGGATCGGACGATGTTGCTGCGATCACGTTCGCGCTTTGAATCCCAGCATTGCTTCGTTAAATGAAAAACTGGAAGTCGTCAAAAACCAACTTCGGTCAACGCTAGACGAGATGAGGAAGGACAACAGAATGGCCTCTGAAGCACTGCAATTGAAAATCGAGGATGTAGAAAGAAGCTTCGGTATGTACAAAAGCAAAAAAAGTCAGACAGATCTGAGGCTACGTCTTCGCCACCTCATCGTTGACGGGAGAAAGCTAACAGTGAAACAGATAACGGAATTAGCTAATTTGCCGTGGCTTTCTTACCACAGAGATCCTGCTCCTGCTCCTGCTAGACCTCAGGCAGACTTCTTCCGCTGCTCGTTATGCAGCAGAGACACAGGCGTTAATAAATACAATCCCGAACCTGACTACGCTAAATGTGCATCATCTGCTGAGCAAAGCGACGCCGTCTTTCATAAGAATCTAATGGGAAAGAACGAGATAATGTGCGTGAATAGATTCGGAGGACGCGATTCGCAGAAGAGTGGCACAAGTGCTCTAATTGCCAGAGTGAAACGCCACCTCCTGACGAGGGTCCACAAAGCTAACGAGATGGACTTCAGGAATTCTTTGCAAGGTGTTCACTCCGACCCGGACAGAGACGTAGAAGCAACCGTTACAGCTGCATTAGCTGCATATACTATTGCTAAAGAAGGAATGGCACTCCAAAAACAATTACCTCTGCTGCTGATGTCTTTGCGAGCAGGAGCAGCACCCGCTTTCGCCCACTACAGCAAATCAGTTCGAGAGATGGTGGCAACATTCGCACTGCACATGAAGTACGATATGCTCAAGTACGTGGTCAACTCAGACCTTCCATTCTCTTTGCTTGTTGACGGAACGTCAATGGACGGAAAGAAATGGATTGTCTTTCTCCTCAGAACGGTTTCTCCTCTGAACCGCCCTATCACATTCCATTTGACTCTGGTAACTCTACAATATGAAAAGGCTGATGACATCGTTAATGCCTTAACCGGAACATCTGAAGGATCTTGCCCACTGGAAGGGAGAAGACGATCTGAAGAAGACGCCTTATGAGTTTGCTATGAGACGAATGATAGCACTTTCATCTGATGGGGTGGGGCTTCAGTGATGGAGAGAAAGCACGCCGGGGTTCACAGAAAGCTGCGAGACCTCATAAGGCACGAGACGAAGGACGACGTGAGAAGAGAAGATTTTCTCCTTACGGTGTGTGCTGCCCACAAGCTGAATTTAGTAGTATTAGACCAAACGGGACTCGCTTTCAACCTAACAAATGCCCTTGTGAAAGAACTGCATAATTTGTTGGGTTCTACGGTTGCAACAAGAGCTCGGGTAATTTATGCCGAAACAGCTGAGGACATGGGCTTCCCCGTCCTACAAATGGACGCACTCCATGCAGTTAGGTGGGCAGCAAGATTGCAAAATTCCGTTTCCAAGATTCTCCGTGAATGTACCCGGTGCTCATTGAAACCTTGGAAAGACTGGGCAAAGACAGCAGTGCTTCCCAGAAAACAAAAAGCCGAGCCAAAGGAGCAGCATTTGCTTTGAAAGACGGTCACACCTTCATCATACTGCACCATGTGAATGCAACTCTCTCCTATTTCGCGAGGCTCTCGGAAGCTCTCCAAAATGAAGAAGCATTGATGGTTGACTACCTTTCCCACTGGAGGCAATTCGATTTTCTGCTCAGCCAAGAGACCTTAAAAAATCAAGTGTATGATTATCTCGCTGACAGTGGGCTACTCGCTTCATACGACACCCAAAACGGTCAATATCACGGAGTGAATTCCGCGTTCTTGAAGACCTACTATACGCTTCCCGATGACCGTGCTTTGTCTCAAAAGAAGTTACTTGCCTATGCCCCCTACTATTTCGCTGACTACAACAGATTAGCCGTACAGCATATCCCGGCTGAACGGAGAGAAGAAACAGCATCGCTGAGGGGAAAACAAAAATTTCGACCTCTTGAAACTGTACAATCTTTGGCCTCTCAACTTTCGGAAGGTGGCTCTACACACAAAAATGGATAACCTTTTTGATGCCGAGATTTTTAGCGCAGTCACCCTTACTGAAGCATACCTCCAGATTGTAGCAGCAAGACAAATAAAGGATTGCGTCAACGCCTTGTACGAAGATGTGCGAAAAAGTTTCCGACACTATATGGAGCCCGAAAAGCGTCCCACAGAAGCAACTGCTTCGTTCCCCTACGCATTGGATAGACATATCATCCTCGACATCATTGAATGCAATGGCGATTACGAATCCTTCAAAAACTGCATTCTGCCCGACACCTCTGCGGCAACTCGTGGATATCCTGTGTATATTGACGACGAAGGCAATGTGGATAAAACTAAACGACATGAGCTTGTATTGCAATCTATCAATGCCATTGAAAAATTTTGCTCCTTACCGGGATCAAAAAAGCATTTCATGGAATTCTACAACACAATCGCGACATCAGTCACGAGAATGACCACATGGCCTACTAACCTGCGAAAAGACAGAACTAGTATTCGGTTCTACCAAACGCTGCTCAACAACGCCAAGGACCTGGAGATTCCTCCTATCGTACGAAAGGTAAAGTCTTGCAAAGGTTCTGGATTTCTATGCAGTGTCTTCACCATCTCAGTTTCAGGCGATAAAATGCATACTTGTGATTCCTGCGAGTAATGCTGACCCTGAACGCAGTTTCTCACAAGCAAATAGGCTGACAAGAGGCGAACGAGGGAATTTGGGAAATAAAACTTTGAATGATCTCATGGCGTGAGTTTTCTCTATTCCTTAGTTTTTCAATGCGATTATATGAGTTTTTCTGGGTTATAATCTATCCTCATATCAACTAGAGCATTATATTTCAGAATACAACGCGACGGACCCAGTGTCCTTACCATCAGGCCTAGAACGTTAGTGGACCAGTGGATAAAACCACGCCCCGTGCTGGGACTTAAACAACACATGCCATCGACATTCGATAGATCGGATAGCTTCATGAAACAAGTAAAAGAATCTATCAGATCAGGTAATTTTTCTGCCACATTATGCAGCAGCATAAACGCCGTTTTCGATTCAGAGGATGCAGCTGCACTTGTTCAACTACATGTCAAACATTCAATGACCATAGATTCACTGAATCAAAGACGCGACTCTGAAAAGATACGCTCTTCAAGGGAGGACCTGGAAACTTCAAAATCAATGATTTTTTCATCTGGTCTCCTTCATGATTCGACCGAGCTATGATGCTTCAACTATTCTCCATCCGTTTTCATGATGATGGACGACATAAAAAATATCCTTTCTTTTTCTCTTGTGATGCGACTAAATGACTTATGAATATTCCATTATCCATATGTGACTCCGCCAAATGGCAACATTGGTTGCGATCGAAACGAATACACCTGAAGAGATTATACTTCAGTACATTTTAATTTCCTAGTGCATCTGTGCATCTCATATTCCAATATTTTTTCAGCTGGTGCTCTGCACAAACGTAATGAATAATGAAGCGTTTTCCACCCAATATGTCACATTACTCTTTGATCTGGGTCACTTCCCTTTGAGCACATATCTGTGGATCTGTGGTTAACGTTGTTTTCTCTGGTCATTTTGTTTAACAATGATTTTTCGGATATAAAAACGTGTGTATATAAAACCTGCTTTCAGGGAATAATGTCTGATGAAGACGAGGACGTTGTAGGTGGATGCATAACGCCGTCATTTAACAAGCTGAATATAAAGTATCCAGAACCTGGTGATCGATTTGAAAAATCGGTTTTGAGATTTCTGAAGTCAACAGTGGACGCCAGAATGAAGGTACATGTCACAGACTTCGATTTTTCTTATTTTGAACGATTGCATGTTGCAGATACAGGCACTGTGGATCAAGAAACTCATCGCGAGACTGCAAAGAGATTTTGACAAGCTCCTCAAATTCTGGGAGGACATCGAAGATACTCACATGCATCTCAACAAGATCTATGAGCGACTTGGACTACAAACTATTCCACCCCTCCCCTCTAATCAGAAGTTACACCTGATCGCAGACTATCTCAGGAGCGAATCCTTTTTTGATCGATAACTCCTCACCTTTTCTTTATTTTCACCATGATATCAAACAAATGGACTGTGTACAATTGCAAGCTTATAATCTTTTTATTCACCTGTCAATGCAACGCTTATTGTACGACGTAGTATGTCAACAATAAAAGCTAAGGTACAATTATAACAAATTATAACGTAAAACAAGACAGTTGAATTTCAATCGATACGCTGGAAATTGGTGACTTGCTAAGTTTGGCACCTATACCACCTTTTTTCATAATTAAGCTAGGTCTAAATAGAAGTGTGCTGAAGACAGAAAGATTTTTTCACGATGTAGTAATTCATGCAGGGAGATCGGTACGAAACAGCCAAGCCTGAAATATGATTACTATTGAGTTTATGGTAACTTCAGCTCTTTTGGGACCATTCCTCCCAGCCTTTCACCCCCTGGTCCCTCTGTATGCGACCCCCCCCCCTTTCGTTCGGCCAAATGCGACCCCCTCGTTGTTCTTTGCGCAACGTAGGGTTGACCCTGGTTGCAGGGGTGGTGAAGTCAGTCGTGCCGCCCCGCTGGCTGCTCGTGAAGATAAAAGTTTCGAAGTGATAAAAAGACAAACATCAACAGCCGCCATCAAAGTCGTCGCCGCAAAAACAGATAAGAAGGGGGACGTGCGGGTGATTCGTGGGCCGAATCGCCTCAGCTGCCACTCCGACGTCGTCTGTCTTGCTGTGACGCCTATTTTTCCGCTAGCTCATTTCTTCTTAAAATGAAAAAAACTGACGGCCAACAAGCTTTCAGTGACAGCTCATCACAGCACTTCTTCTGATCTGGACTCCATTCATAACCTTAATCAATTGGAATTTGATTTTTTTCCTATAATTTTCAAATATCGCCTAATGCCTTCACGTATGTTCGAGAGAATCGCCCTGACATTGCTATTTGAGATAAGAATTTTATTAAGGAACCTTGTACGAGGTTTCCACATGGGTCGGATGTTATGCAGTGGCAAGTGGCGCCATTTCTGGTGCTCAGGTCCTGGATGGATTCCTCTCGGGTGATCCAGACCTTTTATCCCTTTTAGCCCCGTCTCTTCCGGTATTTTGAAGACATTTGATTATTAGGCGCAGTGTTGCTCTGTGGGGACAGCCTGTAAATTGGATCAGGTTCTCGGAACCCTTAGTTTCAGGGCTGTACTTTAAAGGAGAAAAGAAGACTCCGAGGTGCGCAAGCTATTGTCATTCTTTCCTGAACTCGTTCCTTCTATGTTAGGCTTAGTCCTATTGGCCTCCCTACGAGTTGACCCCCCAACGGCATATTGCGCCTTATT